GCAGCACTGCAAGTACCCTTGCAATCGCGAGTGCGTATGCACAGTCCCCAACACAGACCCTCAACACCCTGATGTTCCACCATGTCAGTAGTCCAACATATAGCGCCGTGGATGGTGAGGAATGGAGCTAAAGCAGTTCACTATAGGCCAGCCCCGCCACCAAGTTTGAAGGGTTTGGAAGCCCAACCAGATGATTCGCCTAAAACGTTGCCCATATCCTACTCTGTTATACCGTAGCACCGACAGTCCCAAGAGCATGAAGGAGTCGCGGGAACGACGAGCCATGCCAAGCGAAAGTGTTGTTGGACTCGATGGCTAATGGTGTGCCTCGCGATGATGCACAGTCATACGTTGGCGGCCGGCCGCTTGAGCACAAAAGGCCGCGGACAAACGCTCGCTACCTCTCGAAGTTGCCCAACCTGCTGCTAGAATGCGCCACTTCAACGGGTCCTCATCTCTGAAAATAAAACGCAGCTGGAGGTGGATATGTCCAAGGATCACTCACAAACACACACACACACAAACGCACGCGCACACCTCCACAACATAAAGGCAATGCGAAGCGAAGACATGTAAGTCCCAAGGGAGGGGAAATACTAGCATATCGAATTGCACTTGGGGGCGATGGTGGCGGTGATTTGGCGCAGAGGGCGAACTGCCACATGAATTCTGGTTATGATGGTCACGGCAGTGTGCACAAGCCTGACGCTGCTCACTGTACTGCCTAGAGCTGACAAGCACGATGGCGCCGACAAGCGGCGCGGTGCTCACAAGCAACTCGGCGTTTGCTGGCGAGCCAGTGCCCGCTACTAGAGGCCTCCAAGATGGGGTCGGAGTAAATGGGATCGGAGGATCGGGCCGCATCGCCGATACATCGGCGATGTATCGGCGATGCATCGGCCATGCACTGCGGCGTCGGCGATGCATCGGCGACGCGGGCGTGGAGAAAATGGGGCCCCACATCGAGCAGCATCGCCGATGCATCGCCGATGAATCGGCGATGCATCGGCGATGCGGCGCGACACTCCGACCCCATTCAATCCGACCCCCTGTAATAGGCCTAGAATTAAGTCGGGCACGTCCCTCTACAGGAGGAATATTCAAAAATAGTTTCAAAAATGATAAGAGGACGACGTTTAAAATGTTTTGGTTATGTGGGTGCATGTTTTGAATATTTTGTATTTTCGTCAATACGCAGCTTGTAGGGGGACACGCCCAACTTAAGCATAGAGTTACAGGCTCCGCGGTGCCCCATGTAATCCTAAATCCCGCGGCCCTCGCAGGCACCGTGCCACGATTTGGGTTCGTGCGGCAGCGCGCGCGGATCTGCATCTGGACCCGCGCGGCGGTATCCGCCGTTCCTCAAAAGAGAACGGCACGGCCTGGGCGTTGACTCAAGGAACCCGAAATGAGGAACGAGGCCCCTTTGTTTCAATGAGTTAGACTTTGACTTCCCATCGAAGACCTGAGGCGAGCTGCGACAAATATTAAGGAACACGGGGCCCCTCCCAAACGAAAAAGTCAGTCGCCCGAGACGTCATCGGAGAACGACCCGAATGCCAAAAACGTGCGGTGGCCCCGAATCCCCACCGACTCACCACACGGTGTGGTCACCACCCCGTTTGGGGACCCCCGAAACTCGTGCAAAGGGCGCCCACGCCCCCGCAAGGGTTAGAGGAGGGAGGGCGCGGGCGGGGAGGGGGGAGGGGCGGAGGTTTAATTCCAACGTGGGTATGTTACTATAGAGAGGGTCATGCAACAAACGTTGAAACACATATTATGACGATGTGTGCATATGCGGTCTGGCAAATCGGGGCGGCATCGACGCGACGCCAAGGGGCGTCGTGGACTCGAGACTTCGGCCTGGAAGCACGAGGCGCACGATTACCCATATCATGAATCTCTGCAACCGGTCGCAGTGTTCTGGGGGGTGCACGGACACGCAAGACACTGTTCAACTAAGCGTTTGCGGGCGCCGGCCTCGAACTCTTGCCCCATCCCCTGCCTCCTCCCAATATCCCTTCGCTGTGGCCCCACCCTCCTCATGCCCCTCCGACTAACCCCAGTCCTCATCAGGCCCCTCGCCCACACTGTCACCCCCCATGTGCCAATTCACGTCGTTCCTCGTCGTCCTCCTCCGCCGGATGAATTCCCCCATCGCCCGCGTGCTTGCCCTCCTCCCATCCTCCACGCCCTAACGCAGATCATGCCCCCTCCTTTTGCCCCCCCCGCCTGCCTCGTCCTCGTGATGCTGACACCGATGATGCAGCTCCTCCTGGGCCCACTTCCTCCCGTCTCGTCCAATCCCGTTCATCACCGCCGGCCCCTTGGCCACCCCTCCTATCGAGCCTCTTCATTCCCACAACCCACCATCCCCACCCACCCCCGCGCCTTGGCACTCCCAGACCACGGCCCCCTGCTGGACCAGCCGGGCGATCTCGCCCAGTGACCACACCATCGAGCGGCGCGCAACAAATGCACAGTTCGAGAAACGAGCTGTGTATTTCGACCGCGTACGACGCCCCCCCTGGACCAGCCGAGCGAGAAACGTGAAAGTTCCCGCGCAATCAACACCACCCGCGAGGGGCACGCTCCAAATACACCGATGGGAACCAGATCTGTGTACACAGATCACACCACGATCTGTTTAGACAGTGGGCCCGCACACGAAAATACTCAGTTGAAGACACAAACTGTGTACACAGATCACACCTTGATCTGTGTATTTCGAAAATGTGAACGCTCGCCACCTCGAGGGCGCCCCGACTTGCCAACCCAGAACCGAGGTCGACATGCCCAACCAGGGGGAAATGCAAATACACACTTCCCCGGCCCAGGGCGCCCCCGAAGGAGCTGCAAATACACGCTTCCCTGGCCCAAGGAGGCCACGGCGAAACGCGGCACCGAAGCGGCCCCCAACGGCCCGAAGACGCCCCAAAGGGCCTCGAAGGACCCCGAAGAAGGCCGCACAGCAGTCCGAGAACACGAGAGGTGTCAGCTCCACGCGACGCCATACAGACCACTGCACTGGCAAGGGGGCGGACATTGCCGCAGGCACCTATAGAATTACACGTTAGCGATGCGACTGCGCTCGGCGGCCATGTCGCCCACGCTTGGAGTGCGCCCCGAACGCTCGCATTGGCAATCCCCTCTGTTTGGTTGCGCCGCTTGGCTCGGATATCGAAAAGGCGATATACTGCTGACACGGGCACGCGGCACCAGGTATTTCACTTTTCGAACAATGAAGGAAAACGAGGTCGGACGACGGACGGTGGAGCAGGGAGGCAAAGAGGAACGAGGAATACTGGGGGAGGTGGAAAGGGGCACTCCCCCGCCCGAGCCGCGGACGCTTTCGACGCCATCCAAAGGGGGAAGAAAGGAAGGGCAACGGAGCGATGGCGAGGACGACGACGGGAAGCAAACTGTCATGGGTCCGCATATAGCCATATGCTTGATATTCGGGTGCGCGTGCTTTCTTCGAGGCGCGTCAAGCCCGACCCATACTGAATTTACTAATTCCTCCAAACTGAATAAACACCCTGTCCTCTGTACCCCCTCCTATACAACTGCTTCAGAACAGAGGGGCAGTGGATTCCAAGGCGGAGGAACCTTCCGCCGACCCCACTCGCAGGCGGTGAAAGCGTGCCTGATCGGGGGCGCGCAAACATGGATTGACGATCCATGGTTTTGGCGCGCGGTCGCCAGATCCGTGAATCGGGAAAGATGCCCTCGCCGAAATGCGGCCGGTGCCGCCTCGTTCGGCGGCGGAAATCCGCGATTTCCCATGGAAGCGGCACCCGTCGCTAATCCACGCCTCATTGATCCATGTTTGCGATCGCCTGACTCACTTGCAGGTGGTGGGAGTGTGCCTGAGAAGCTGGGTTTAGCCACCCCCGTGTTCCCCCTTCCCGTGGGCCCACTGACGCTAACTGGACTGGTCGCACCTGTTAGCAGGCCATTTTGCTTTCTGCCGCGTGGTGGTTTGTGGTCATTAGTCATGACCGCAGAACCACATGATTGTGGGGTGGGGGCGTCAAGAGGCCTCGCGAGACGAGTTTTTATACCCTGACCGATGCGGATTGGGGACCGCTGGATCTATCTTTAAACCATTTTAATTGGGGTCGTCCAGGGCCAGTTGGAACTCTCGCGGTTGTCTATTTGAGACTCTCGGAGGCACGTGGAGGCCATCTTAGGGTCATGTAGAGCGGGCAAATGTGGGATTGTCACAAGTAGCGCGATATCCAAAGGCATTGGACGTATGTAATGTGTTTTTCCAGGGCGGTCCATAGGGGCATGTTCAAGCTTACTGTGTGTTTCTTTGGGGTTCTACCAGGGCGATACTGGAGGCTGCAGTGGCTTGATATTTGCATCCCGAGGAAGCAATGCATGCCAGGAGGAGGAGGAGGAGGAGGAGGAGGAGGAGGAGGAGGAGGAGGCAGAGGAGGAGGAGGAGGACCAGAGCAACACTGGGGCACACTGGAACCACCGAGTGCCACTTGGTGGCCGTGGCGCCTTGCCGATGCCGCCTGCGCCGCCACAGTGCCCGAAGACGGGCGGAGCCGCCAGGCGTGGAGGCGAGGCCAGGAGGAGGAGCACCGGCAAGCGGAGGCGGAGGAGGTGGAGGAGGAAGGGAGGAGGAGGAGGAGGAGGAGGAGGAGGAGGAGGAGGAGGAGGAGGAGGAGGAGGAGGAGGAGGAGGAGGAGGGGGAGGGGGGGATAAGGGCAGGCTGAAGCCCACGCCTCGGCCGACCCTCTGCGGCCGTCCGCGGGCCGCGCTCGTCCACGCCTGCGCCCGTACCCTTACGTCGGGCATGTCCCCCTACAGGTGGATTCTTGAAGAAAAATGAAGATACTCAAAAAATATCCCAAAGTTGTCAAAAAACTACTCACAAAATCGTCCTCATATTACTTGTTGCCTATTTTTGGATACTCCTGCTGTGCAGGGACAGGCCCGACTTAACCGTACCCCTTGTGATCCTACCCCTCGCGGCCACGGCAGGCCTCGAGGTTTGCGTCGAGCTCACTGCGGAGCGCGGCCAGGGTGGAGAGGCTCCTGCCCGAGCGCTCCGCGCCGGAGGCAAGGGAGGCGGCAAGACAAAGAGGCGGGCGCGGAGACGTGATCAAACAGGGCAGGGGAAGTCCAGTGCGGCGAGGCGGCGCAAGACGGCGACGGGGACCGGGACGCAGACGGAGGCAGAGGCGGAGGCGCAGGTCCGAGGCGGAGGCGGAGGCGGAGGCAGCGGCGCAGGCAGCAGGGCGGCAGAGGCAGCAGGGGCAGAGCAGAGACAAACGAGGGAAGAGGCCGGGCAGACCTACAGAGCAGGACAGGACGAGGCGGGCCGAGCGAGCGAGCGCGCGAGGCGGGTCCGCGACCGAGCTGGCCCTGAGAGCGCAGCGCGCGCGGGGGCGGCGCCCCCAGGAGTCTGCGCGGGGGCTGGAGCGGAAGGACTCGAGTGCTGGAGGCTGGAGCACGGAGGCAGGAGGGGGGGCTACGCCTGCACGGAACGAGCCCAGCTTGAGCGAGCATCGACTGCAAGATGTCGGCCCCTCTCAAGCCAGCCCAGCGGTCTGTCATGCTCCGCATGGTCATATCTCACCGCCCCTGCCGAGCCTCACGTGTGCGCACTCACGCCAGGATTCCGCAACACGCGGGTCGTTGTAGATGCGGTGTTGGGAGATGCGTCACCGCTGGTCCATGGGTGGCAATCCATCAAGTTGAGCACGCACAACTGCGACTGTCGGAAACGCAACTCTACTGAAATCTGATACCTGTACACAGCTCTTGGCAGATGGCGAAAATGGACGTAGCAAAATCACGTCGAATTGCAAGGGATTAAAAATCCGCCACCGTGATAACCCTGGCACGTCGAGGCGTGTTCGAATGCCTGATGTTGCTCTGTAGGGTGCTTGTATTCGAAATAGGACCACTCCCTCTTTCAAGAGAACGTCCGGTGCATCGCCCCCCCCCCCCACCCGCCCCGAGGCCACGATCTCCATCAAGAAACGATTGAGCCGCGCTCGCGAGGCCACGATCACTAGTTAAAAAAAGGATCGACCCACGAACCTGGAGAGGGATATAGAATTGTGAAGCATGGAATTGCTCAAGACACAAGAACTTGGGCTACGGTCAATTGTAATGCTCAAGGCAGCGATGGCGATGTATGGTGCAAAGGGCTGTGCTGTGCTATGATGAACTGAGACGCACCATTCCGTGTTGAAGTGCTGTGCTCTGTTGCATTGTGTAGTAGGTCGGCCGTGGCGACAGAATACCGATCGAACTGATCTGGATCTTAAGCTCGACCTGCCTGAACGCATAACTCAGATCTGGCCGCAATCGAAACGCGAGGGGCGCTCGACCAGCTCGAGCTCAAGATCCGATTCAGTTCGGAAGCGGGACACACCGAAATGGGGCGAATCTGAATAGCTCTGTGCTCTGTTGCGTCGTGGATCGAATCTTCCTTGCATCCGAAACCTGACAGAACTGAGCTGGGTCTCAAGCTCGAGCTGCCTGGGCGTATTGCTCGCCCACAGCCGCTTGCAATCGAGAACTTCTAAAAGGATTATGTTCTGCAACAGAGCGAAAGGTCGAATCCAAACCGAGGCGAAATGTGTCGAAAAGGGGCGGACCAAAACGCCGACGACGACGACAACGACGGCGGACGGCGACGACCGCGACCGCGGTTCAGGCTCGAGGCCACTCTGTTCGATATCAACCTGGGTGGCCTGGACATGTGAAAACACGTGGTACCAGCTCGGGGCCACCATGTTAGATATACCCAAGTGGGAAGCCTGGAAAATCACAAGCCGAAGAAACTGTTGCAGGATATTACGCACATCTGGCATTCATGGATTGATTTTGTCGGCGCTGGGGGCGCCCTGACGACCACATGTTAAATACCCCCCTTGGGTAGCCCGCGAAGGTAAAAACAAGTGCTTCCAGCTCGGTGCCCTCCTGGGTGGCCTGGGCACATGGAAACACATTGTTCCAGCGAGGGGCAAGATGCAACCAACGTAGATACACCCCCCGCCCTGGGCAGCCTGAACACGTAACAACACGTGGTTCCAGTCAAGGGACACCATGTTAGATACCCCCTGGGCGGCCTGGACACGTAAAAACAATGGTCCCAAGTCGGAATCACCATGTTGGATATCCAACTGGGTGGCCTGGACACGTGAAAGCACATGGCTCCAGCTCGGGACTACCATGTTGGATGCTTCTCTGAATGGCCTGGACATTTGAAAACACTTGGTCCCAGCTCGGGGCCACAAAGTTAGATATCCTCATGGGTTCCCTGGACACGTTCAAACACGTGGTTCCAGCTCGGGGCAACTATGTTAGGTACCCCAGTGGGAAGCCTGGAGAGCCACCAGCCGAAGAAAGTGTGTCAGGTTATTGTACACCTGGCGTTGAATTATCAAGTTTGGTTGACTCGTGTGGGCCCCCGTGCAAGGGGAGCCCACGCGACCACATGATAGATATCTTTCTGGGTGGCCTGGGTACATGAAAACAGTTGGTTCCAGCTCGGTGCCACCACGCTAAATCCTTTCTGGAT